CACACACACACATGCACACACACACACACATACACACATACACACACATACACACACATACACACACATACACACACACATACACACACACATACACACACACACATACACACACACACATGCACACACACACACATACACACACACACACACACACACACACATACACACACACACACACATCTTGGAACAGTGCCTAGATCCTGAGTCCAAGCCCCAGGACCCATAAAAAAAATAAAGAAAGAAATGAAAATAAATGAATGATTAAAAGTATAAATAGATTAAATAGTTCTAATGGTTTCCTTTCCCAGTCCCCACTCACCCACCACCCCCAAGGCTCATGTGTTGAAGGCTTGATCTCCACTGGCAGAGGAAATTCTTTTTTTTTTTTCTTTTTTTGGTCATGGGGCTTGAACTCTGGGCCTGGGCACTCTTCAGCTCAAGGCTGGCACTCTACCACTTGAACCACAGTGCCACTTACTAGCAGAAGTGATTAGATCACTGGGGCTCTGACCCAACCAATGGATTGAGAGATACTGACAAAGTCATAATTGGACAGCATTAGTGGGAGGAGAGGGACACATTCAGAGATGGGGAGTGGATAAGAGGATCTGGGTCACTGAGGATGTGTTCCCACAACAATATTTTGTCTTGAACCCCTCTCCCTCCTCCTCCTTTCCTTTCTCCCTTCTCTTCTCTCTTCCCCTTCCCCCACCTCTCCTGGCCACCTTTACTCTGCTGACCCTTCGATCATGGTGTTCTGTCTTCCCACAGTGCCCCTCTTCCCCCAAGCTAGGAACCAGCTGACCATGAATGGAAACCTCTGAAACTGTGAGCCTACAGAAACCTTTCCTCCCTTTATATTGTGTCACTCAGGTATTTGCCACAGTGATGAAAAACGAACGAGAGGTGGGGTCTCCAGTCCAACTCCACCTGACAGTGTGCTCCAGGAGCCCCCCAAACACTTGGTTTATGAGAGGAATTGGGGGACGTTTGGAGAAGCATGCTACAGAAGGCCTTGAATGCTGGAAGCGGAGATGAGCGCATGGTTCAGACAGGAGCTCAGAAGAGTGAAAACAACCTACGAGGTTTCGAATGTGCGCTTTGGCCACTGGATACAGAGCGGCCGGAGTTCGTTTGTCCTGCTGGGCTGCAGTTCTGCTTTGGTTCCATCCCTCCTCTCTGTAATCCCATGGCCCCCTTTTGGAATGTGGCTCTTTGCTGAGTGCTATTGTGTTACCCAACACACAATGTGTGTGACTTGCTTTTGGAATGTTATAGAGACTCACCAAGAGGTTGCCTAGAGTCTCAGAATTCTTGCACAATATTGGAGCTGTTGGGACTTTGGGAGATGGATTGGATAGATGTTGCATTATGAGACAGATGTGAGCTATTTGGGGGTATGAGGTGAATGTTATGGGTGAGGTATGATGTAGCCCCCAAAAGGATGTGAAACCATAAGACAAAATAAGTTTTTCTTCTTTTTAAATAGTCTCAGGTATTTGTCGTAGTAACAAGAAACTGAGTAACACAACAATACATAAAATCCAGAGCACAGAGCCTAGCACAAAATAATGGTACTTTGTGTTTAGGCAAGATTCATACTGTTTTTCCCTTTTTGTGGTACAAGAGGTCAAACCCAGGCCCTTGCATATGTACACAAGTGCTCTGCTTCTCAACAGTACTGGTGCTCTACCACTTGAGTCACAGCTCCACTTCCTGCTTTTTGCTGGTTAATAGGAGATGAAGAGTCTCTGTGGACTTTTCTGCTTAGGCTGGCTTTGAACAATGGTCCTCAGACCTCAGCCTCCTGAGTAGCTAGGATTATAGGTGTGAGCCTCCTGTGCCTGGCCGGCAGTACTCTAAAGCTAAGCAGTCCTCACCCCCCAGGTGAAATCCATGGCTCTGAAAAGACACAGCAGCAGGGGTCTGAACCTTAAAGTTCAGACGAAGATGTGGTCTGTGGCCTGCGGAGTTCCCTGCACCTGTGACCCAAGCTCTCTCCTGAGAACTGCCGTTTTCATCTACCCTGGGGCTCTGCCTGGACAGAGTCCAGACCTCCACCCTCTCTAATCTCAGTCCTCTGACCCTCCCATTCCAGTGTCCCCGTCCCTTTGACCCCTTGCCTCTGTCATATTCTAAAGAAGAAAAATCCAATCCTGCCCTGCTGGCCTCACTTCTCCTTAAAATGCCAACTGGAGTAGAAGTCAGTGGGAGCTGCCATCTAAATCTGACTTCTTCCTTCTGCAGCTCCATTTGTGATGGGAACTGCGAAGCCATTTATCACCATCACGGCTGCTAGTGCCACTGGCTGGGGCCACGGATGGCCATGCTACCTGGAGCGTATCCTCCTGCCTGCATTTTCTTTCACTAGTGTTACTGTGCAAAGATGATGAAGGATGCGGGGGGGGGGGGTGGGGGAGGGGGGGGGGGCGGGGGGACACTAAGGGCTAGGAGGCAGGGAGAGAGACACAGCTCAGCTTGTCACCAGCCCTGGGCAGCAATTGCCAAGGGAAGGACACAAACTAATAGCTGACATGACTCATAGAGAAAATGCCAGACCTGTACAGCTAGGTGGGCTGTTTCATCTCTGGTTTTCTAAATGCCTCTAATACACTATCCGCAGGCAAAAAAAAAAAAAAAAACATAGACTCGGAAACACGCGGCCGGTGCTGGCTGAGCACTGGGAGAGTGGCAGATTAGAAGAGGCAGTTCAACCTCAAAGGCAGACCAAGGACAGGGAAGAATGCTGAGCTTCTGCAAGATGGATTAAGAAGGTAGGCAGAAGGGAGACACCAATCCACACAACAAAAAGTAGCTGAGGAGGTAATACGTTTTCCAAAGAAACATTGTAGACATCTGCCTCCCTTTGGGGATGAGGGAAGACCACTCTTGGGGAATGAAGTTGGATCACTTTTGCTTTGTAGTCTTCTTTTTCCTTGTGGTCTTCCTCCTTCTTCTCCTCTTCCTTCTTTGCCAGTCCTGGAGCTTGAATTCTGAGTCTGGGCACTGTCTCTGAGCTTCTTTTGCACAATGCTAGCACTCTACCACTTGAGCCACAGTGTCACTTCCAGCATATCCTGAGTAGTTTATTGGAGATGAGAGTCTCATGGACTTTCCTGCTTGTGCAGGCTTTGAACTATGATCCTCAGATCTCAACCTCCTGAGTAGTTAGGTTTATAGGCATGAGTCACCAGCACCCAGCTTGCTTTGCTACTTTCTAGGAAGTTCAGCATGACAAGGAGGTAGCTTAGGACATCCGGTCTGAGGCACCCTCTGCATATCCCACCCTGAGATGGTGCTCAGTCTCAGAGTTCTCAGGTCCACCAGAGCTCTGGCAAAGGAGTGGAGTTCAGGAAAGCTGTGTCTCCCAAATTCAATGCCAGCTAGAACATTAGGCCATGTCTTTCTTTGAAAATTGTCTTTGCAGGTGGAGTTAATGCCATCCTGAATTTGGGGTGGACCCTATGCCCATGACTGATTGCTGGCAAGAAGAGATACAGGAAAGAAATGCCACGTGAAGACAGGAGGTAGATGTATGCCTCTTCAAGGCAGGAGTACCAGGGATTGTGGGCCACCACAAGACACCACAGGAAAAGAGCATGGAGCAGAGTTTATCTCTGAGCCTCTGGCAGGAAGCAATCCCACCAGCACCTTGACTTCTGACTGCCCAACTTCTGTTACTATAAATCATTACTTGGGCTTTAGGAAAATGGTACAAGGGATCTGGGCAGAAAGGCTCCAGAGGGGCCCCATCTCCTTGGTCCCATAGAGCCCTAAAGATATCACCCAGTTTGGTGGCCCAGGCATCTTTGTCACCAGAGTTACCCAGCACAGCATCTTCAGAGCCTAGAGATTCTATTACCTAGCACCCTAATCTTGGCAGACATATACAAAGCCCAGCTTCATTGTCATGTATGGGTACCTTCCCTCCTCCTGAGCACTGATGCCCTCTGGGGCCTGGGCCCTCCTAAGATGACCTCCTCATAACTACAGTCTACAAGCAGAAGCTTAGACAGTGGCCATCAACCATGGTCCCTCTCCTATGTCCTAGGCCAGTGGGGACAGGGAACTAACCATAACAAGTGCTAGGTTAAGAGAGGTCAAACCAGTGGCCATCAAGAATCCAGTATTCAAATAGGGATTCAGAGACCCCAAGACATGACACCTATATAAAAGAGACAATCAATGCCCATTTCCTCCTATCAAGGTATCTGGGGAAGTACCCTTCCTTAAAATGTGGCATTCAGGGGCTGGGAAGGTGGCTCAGCAGTAGAGTGCTTGCCTCGCATGCATGAGGCCCTGGATTCGATTCTTCAGCACCACATAAACAGAAAAAGCCAGGAGTGGCGCTGTGGCTCAAGTGGTAGAGCACTAGCCTTGAGCTGAAGAGCTTAGGGACAGCACCCAGGCCTAGAGTTCAAGCCCCACAACCAACAAAAAAAAATTTTAAAAACACATGTCATTCAAAAGAAATCTCAGAGTAGAAGGGCGGAACAAAAGTAAAGAAATAAAGTAAGCTGAGTGCTGGTGGCTCACACCTGTAATCTTAGCTACTCAGGAGGCTGAGATCAGAGGATTGTGGGTTGAAGCCCAGCCTAGATAGAAAATTCTCTGAGACCCTTATCTCCAAATTTCCAACAAAAAATATAAACAGAAGTGGAGGTGTGTCTCACATGGTATGGTGCCAGCCTTGAATGAAAAAAGCTAAGCAAGAACAAGAGGCCCTGAGTTCAAGCTCCAGTACTCACAAAGGAAAAAAAAGTAGGTAAGAGAAAGAAGTATGCGGTCTTCCAAGTTATCTCCCCTGCCTCTTCTAATACCCTCCTCCCTCTTATTAGACATCTTGCCTACCTTCTTAACCATCTATCAGAGCTCCTGAGTTTTATCACATTCCCAAAGCTTCCTGGTCCCTCCTCAGAGCTGGAGCAGAGGTGCTTATGATTCAGTACTCTCTGCTCCCTTGTGTGGGTTTCCTGCTCTGTTGCCTGTGGGTGAACTCAGAGCCGGATGGTGGGCTGCTGCCCCTCTTCCCCTAGCATGGTCATACCCTGTGCCTTGAGGTCTTTCATGGAACCCCTAAGGAGCAGAGGCGGGGTGCTGTTATCTTGACAGAGTGGAGTAGAGACGAAGTACTGACAGATGAAGTACAGACAGTCACCACGCACAGGGGCAGCTGATGGGGATCTTTGGTTCCATGGAAGACAGAGCCAAGCAGATCTTGACCCAGCACCCAGGACTGGGCAGGCATGGGGGGAAATGGGAGGGCTGGAAATCAGGAAGCTAAGGGAGCAGATTCACAGCCACTGCAGATCCCAGTGTCAGACTGTCTGTCCCAATGGTTCTAGAATGTGGCCACCAGAAGTATGGCTGTCTTCCTCCCACTCACAGCTGGTCAAAGCTGTGCCAGGGTAGACCTTGGGCACCTTTCCTTCCCTTCAGCCTCCAGCCTGACTCATCCCAGGAGCCTAGGAGAGCATGGGTCCTAGAGACCTAGCTCCTTGCTCCTTGGCTCTCTTCTGGTCCTTTCAACCTCTCCTTAAGTACATCCCACATCCTGACAAGAACTGTCCTGACCCCAGCAGGGGTCCCCTCTCTTGAGGTCTGAGTTGGGCCACTGGCAGGATTTAAGACCACCACTAAAGGGAATTGCAGCCCTGGAGTAGTGTTGGGGTTGTTTGCTTTTGAAAATGTCACCAGCAGTCTCTGGAACCTCTCCAAAGGAAGTCTAAGGACAAAGGGGCCAGGGATCCGGCCGAACTACATCCCACGGCCTCCACAGCTTTAGGAAAGGACTGTCCAGAATGTTCGTGGAGGCTGAGGCCGGGCTCCTAGGGCAGGGGCTGTGAGCCCATTTCCTGGGGAGGGGACCCTGTCCTAGGGGAGGGAGCTTTCCTAATTACTAATAAATGTCTTTTGTTCTTAATGAACAGTCTGTCTACCGCCTCCGACTCAGTTCACGCTCCTGCTTTCTAGGAAGATGGAGCCCGAGGTTGAGTGGGTGGCAGAAAGGGAGACACCCCCTCCTCCCTCCCTGCCAGTCACAGCCTCTCCACCAGGGAACCTGGGAGCCTGAGCTTCTGGTTTTCCTTCAGGAGCCCAGAGACAGGAGGGCGGCAGAGGGGAGAAGTAGCAGGCTATGTGTGTAGGTCCTCCTGGAGGACGCAGGTTCTAGAACCGCATCTCTCCTTTCCTTCCACTTCTTCCCTCCTCCCTCCCAGCGGGCCAGGCTCACATTTTATCCGGAGCTATTTTAAGGGGTGGAGAAGTGGGGGACAGAGCCAAGCGGTGGAGCCCAGGCACTCCCGCGCTCGGTTCCCCTCCTCCCCTCCCCAGCCTGTTTCCAGGTTGCCAAGGGGACTGTACAGCCTGTATCTGCCTCTCCTGCCTCTCTGCTGTCAGCACTAGGAAAACTTTCTAAGGCCGAATCAGTGGGAGCGCTGGCAGCTCCAGTCGGTGGGCCAGGAAAGGCCTCTCTGTCTTCAAGCTTTCTGCCACACGCCCTCCCACACAGCTGAACAGGCAGGCACACGCGCCCGCACACGCAGGCACAAGCTCACACCACCCCCACACCCCCTCAGCTCCACGCGCCCAGCCCATCTACAGGGAGAAGAGAAATTAAAAAAAAAAAAAGATTGTTCTGCCCATCCCCCGCTCGGTGGAGTGGCGCCCCACCCGGCCTCCATCTGCTCTGGTGAAGCCCGTGGGGTGTGGGTGGAGCCCGTGGGGTGTGGGTGGAGCCCGGGGTGTGGGTGGAGCCCGTGGGGTATGGGTGGAGCCCGTGGGGTGTGGGTGGAGCCCGGGGTGTGGGTGGAGCCCGTGGGGTGTGGGTGGAGCCCGTGGGGTGTGGGTGGAGCCCGTGGGGTGTGGGTGGAGCCCGGGGTGTGGGTGGAGCCCGTGGGGTGTGGGTGGAGCCCGGGGGTGTGGGTGGAGCCCGTGGGGTGTGGGTGGAGCCCGTGGGGTGTGGGTGGAGCCCGGGGTGTGGGTGGAGCCCGGGGTGTGGGTGGAGCCCGGGGTGTGGGTGGAGCTCGTGGGGTGTGGGTGGAGCCCGTGGTGTATGGGTGGAGCCCGTGGGGTGTGGGTGGAGCCCGTGGGGTGTGGGTGGAGCCCGTGGGGTGTGGGTGGAGCTCGTGGGGTGTGGGTGGAGCCCGGGGTGTGGGTGGAGCCTGTGGGGTGTGGGTGGAGCCCGGGGTGTGGGTGGAGCCCGTGGGGTGTGGGTGGAGCCCGGGGTGTGGGTGGAGCCCGGGGTGTGGGTGGAGCCCGTGGGGTATGGGTGGAGCCCGTGGGGTGTGGGTGGAGCCTGTGGGTGTGGGTGGAGCCCGGGGTGTGGGTGGAGCTCGGGGTGTGGGTGGAGCCCGTGGGGTGTGGGTGTCTCCTGCACCTCCCCCTCCCGAATCACCCCCCACACTCCATGTCATTCTGGGTAGCAAAACAGGTTACACTAGAGGAGAGGACAGCAAGGGGCTGATGGCCGGGGGAGGTGGGGATGGCCCCCAAACTCCACCAAGGGTCACAAAGTATGACTTCAAGGTGGACACCTTCATTTGTTCATGCCACCAAGACACAGCTGCTTTGGGTGTAGAAGGGTCAAGTGCTTGCCCGGGACCATCTGAGAGGGTTCTGGAAAGGGGATGCCTTCTTTGAGCAAGATCATAGGTCAAACGAAGTTTGAGCTGTGGCTCATGCCTGTCATCCTAGCTATTCAAGAGCTTGAGATCTGAGGATTGAGGTTCAAATCCATCCCAGGCAGGTAAGCCTGAGTCTTATCTATAAGTCACCACCGAAAGTCCAGAAGTGAAGGTATGGCTCAAGTGATAAAGTGCCATCCTTGAGTGAAAAAGCTAAGGGACAATGCGCAGGCCCTGAGTTTAAGCCCCAGTACTGGCAAAAGAAAGAAAAGAGGAAAGGAAGGCTTTTGTATTGTTATTGTTTTGTTCTTTTGTTTTAGTTTGCTGGTCCTAGGGCTTGAACCCAGGGCCTGGGCACTCTCCCTGAGTTTTTGTGCTCAAGGCTAGCATTGTACCACTTTGAGCCACAGTGCCATTTCTTGGTTTTTGGTAGTTAATTGGAGATGAGAGTCTCGCAGACTTTCCTGCCCAGGCTGACTTTGAACCACAATCCTCAGATATCAGCCTCCTGAGTAGCTAGTCTGCCTCAACAGGTCTTCTTGGCACATGGGGGCCTCAGGTGAAGGCAGAGGGTACCTCATCCTTCCATCCACACATCTACCCTTCCACTGATCACCCCCAAAGCCTGGTGATTTTCTTGGAGGATCTAAGGGACTCAAGGGAGGACAAGTCAGGAACGGCCCAGGGGAAGGTGTCTCCTAGGAGGGGAGAGACTGTCGCCACCAGCCTGGGGAAGGTCCTGTCCAGAAGGCCAGTTTCCACTTGGAATGAAGCGTTGGAGCTGGGAACGGGGACGCCCTCTCATTCACACAGCAGGGAGGCTCTTGTTGGGGGCACTGCTGGGCATGGTTGCCATGTATGAATGCCTGCCTACTGCCCACCACCCCTTTGTCACTTTCCCCAGCTGCCAAGTTCTGAATACTCCAATGGGACATAGACGGGCCGAGCTCCCATTCCAGGACCCAGCCTCCCTCTGCCCTCCCTCTGCCCATGCGGCCCGGGTAGGGGAGCCTCGAGACAGACACCTGCGCCATCGGCCTGTGTCGCAAAGACAGAGTCTTGGCTCCACTAGGACTCGCGTGTGAGGACTTCCTGGTGAAACAGGAAGATGCCAGAGTCAGCCCACTGATCTGCTCAACCCCAGCCCCCATGGGCGGCCTTCCAGGGAGCTCAGGAACGTGCAGGACCACGGAATGGTGTGTCTAGACCTGAGACACCTCATATGGTGGAAGGCTGGCTTACAACACAGCACAGTGCCTGCCAAGGGGCCCCCTGGGGTCCTCACCACAGAGGCAGGGTACTGGACGGAAAGCTCGATGCTCAGTGCTTATGCTTACAAGAATGAGAGAGAAAAGCTGTTCGCCAGTGGCCCTCTTCCCCCAGAGGGCTATGAAGGTTCATCTAAAAGAGTGAGCAGCCTGCAGGGAGGAGGGGGTGTCCAACTGGAGCGGCTGTAAATCCCGGCTTGTGTGGGCTGAGCTGGCAGTGCTTCGCAGTCATTAAACCCCATGGTGAAGGCAATTATACAAAGGCCTGCGCAGACACCTGGGCCAGGAGTGGGCAGATGGTGCCCTGAGTGCCCCCTCCCCGGGAAAGAGGGGGAGAGAGGCATCTGGAAAGATATGGGAGGCTAGTGAGAGCGGCTTAAAACAGAAAGGCAGGAGAAAAGGGAAGGGGCGAGGGGGGAAGCACCAGGGGAAGGTGCCCATAGGGGCCAGCGGGGGCTGGGGATGGAGTGGGTAAGGCAGAAGACGGGGAACAAGGTCCAACAGTCAAGGGACCAGGGGCTGGAGCAGGAATCCCAGCAGAGCTTACCCCCACAGGAGGGAGAGAGAGACAGAGACAAAGCGCTTGCCTCTGTATCAAGCATGCCTACAACATGCCAGGCACCATGCCAAGGCACCAAGGATGTAAAGGCACATGACTTTATATAAGACAAGCACACCTCAGCTTTCCAAAGCATGCAGTGACAGAGGTATACTCAAGAACTGATACCCATAAGAAAAATAATAATAGAAATGAGCCAGGTGTGGTAGCACGTGCCTGTAATCCCAGCACTTGGGAAGCTGAGGCAGGAGGATCAAGTCAGAAGTCAGCCTGGGCTACGTAGAGAGACCCTATCTTAAAAAAAAAAAAGCAAAGCTGGGCACTGGTGACTCATACCTCTAATTCTAGCTACTCAGGAGGCTGAGATCTGAGGATCATGATTCAAAGCCATCCCAGGCAGGACAGGCCGTGAGACTCTTATTTCTAATTAACCACCAGAAAAAGCTGGAAGTGGTGCTGTGGCTCAAGTGGTAGAGTGCTAACCTTAAGCAAAACGTTGCTCAGGGACAGTGCCCAGGCCCCAGAGTTCAAGCCCCAGGACTGGCAAAAGAGAGAGAGAGAGAGAAAGAGAGAGAGAGAGAGAGAGAAAAGAAATGTAGGATGGAAGGCAGGAAGGGAAAAAGAATGAATGCAAAGAGGCTTCCTGGAGGCAGAAGGTGCCCATTGAGTTCAGTGCTGAAGTTTGAGTTAGTCGTGGAAAGTAAGGTCATAGGGGCTCCAGCCCCCCCCCCAGCACCCCAGAAAAGGCATGAGCAAATCATTCCTGGGTCAGTTCAGAGTGGGCACAGACAAGCACCTGAGATGAGCTGGGAGACAGCAGGAGACAGGCGCGGAGACTTTGCCGGTGACAGGGAGTCATTGAGGGGTTTCCTCAGGTTGTGATATGGTAGGGGTTCATGTTAGGATTGTCACACTGATGGTGACATGAGAGATACATTTGTGTGGAGGCAGGGAGACCAAGTAGGAGTTGATTGCCATTGTCAAAGTGAAAGACATGTGCCACATACTGTGATAGAGGACCAGGAAAGAGGAGGAGGACAGAGGGGAGGACTGGATGTTTGTAGACTCGCTGAGGCCACGTGTCTAACAGGCTTCTAAGGGAGAGAAGGGTGCAGCCCACCATGCAGATGTGGGCTCCATCCCCAGAAAGATCGGGGGGAGGGGTTCTATGAAAACATACAAGGTGGAGCAGCAGGCCCAGTCAGGATCCCAGAGGCAGCCCTGTGAGGAAAGCGGATTATTGAAAGAAGTCAGAGACACGGAGAGACACAGGCAATTTAAGGCCCCAGACACCAATGAACACATACAGGGTTTCTGGAAGGAAGGCGTGCATGCAGGGTCATTAGCAATAGAGTGGAGAAATGGGGTAACGGTGTCTGCCAACCACTCAGCCCCGTCTCTTGAGGGGGAGAGCTGTGATTCGTTCTCCCCAGCACCTAGCCTTGTGGTTGGCACACAGCAGATGCTCTTCGAACCGCCTTGTGGGCTTCAGACTCCCCCCACACAGGTGGCCTTGCCCAATTGTCTCTTCCAGATGTTTCTAATAAAGGGCGCCCGGGACCCACCACTCAAGAGCTCTGGTTCACAGCTGCTGTTCCTGATGTCCTGGCTGCCGGGTCCCTGGCTTTCCCCGCCCACACTGCCGGCCACATGCTCCCTCCACCCAGTCAGTGGGGAGCACTAGGAGCAGGCTCATTATTTAACGGTCAATGGCTTCTCCAACGTCCTCTCCTCCCCTCCCCGCTTCACGAAGACAGTTTGGAGCCCAGCCTCTATTCCTGTTAAGTGGAAAGCGATTTTCACTCATTCCCAAGATGAATCATTTTGTTTTAATCGTCCGTCCTTTTGCTGGCACTGTCCCTGCCATGGCTGCCGGCTTTGCCTTTTAGCTGACAGTTGGCAGGCTGCCTGCCCAGTCCCTCCCCGTTCATCACCAGGAAGGGAGGTACAACTACGAAGAAACCGGGGAGCTCCCCTCATGGAGGGAAAAATTTAAAAAGAGCTGGGTCATAGGTGGCCGTGGGGCAAAGCTAATGACAATGACTAACTGTCCTCCAGTTCAGAGCAGGCAGAGAGCGCCTCCTGCCTTCCTACCTCTTGGGGGGCTGTCACAGCAGGAGACAGAGTTAGGGGGATGGAAGACACCCCCCAGAGCTGGACCCACAGGTGACCAGGAGACCCTAGGGCCAGGAGCTGCTGATAAGAAACAGGGAAATTGCGGGACCCAACTTCAGTTTCCCAAATTTTGGTATAAAATAGGTGGGCTTCCTGGGAACGAATGTCATTGGAGAGGAAGAAAGGACAAGAGACCCATTCAAAACTATCTTTGGAGGTCCACTGGGGCTAGGTTCAGTTCCAGGCAGGTGCTTATGTTCTGTGGCTCCTCCTACATCAGAGGTTGGCTTGACAACTCCTGACTTCAAGGAAAAGTGGGTGAGTTTGGCCAAACCAGGGAGGGACTCCAGGGCCTTCACCATTGCTCCCAGACAGCACCAGGACAGGAGAGGGGAGAGGGCTCAGGCAGCGACACCAATATAGCCTTTTTCCTGGAGGCCAGGTCTGGAGCAAAGGTCACTGTGCTGATTGGAAGATGCTTGTGATGATCAGAAACATGCCAGCTTTCCTCTTTCTCCTCTCCTTCCTCTTCTCCATCTTCCTCTTCCTTCCCTTTCTCTTCTTCCTCTTCCCTCTCTTCCTCCTCCTTTCCCTTTTCCTCCTCTTCCTTCCTTCCCCCTCTTCCTCTTCTTCCTTTCCTCCCTCTGCCTCTTGTCTTCCCTCTTCCCCTTCCCCTCCTGCTCTTCCTCTTCCTCCCTTTCCTCCTCTTCCCCCCCCCTCCTGCTCCTCCTCCTTCTCCATCCATGTTTACCAAGTCTCTATCTGACTCTGCTTGATTGTACCTGAGAGTCATTCTAACAACCTGTTTCCCAGATGCTGGGCTCCTAGACAGGTCCCAGGCAGGGGGC